GGAGCCTGGAGCCTGCTTCGGATTCTGTGTCTCCCTCTCTCTCTCTGCCTCCCCTGCTCATGCTCTGTCTCTCTCTCTCAAAAATAAATTTAAAAAATGTTAAAGAAAAAAAAAACAGAAAAAACACTTCAGGACACAGGGGAGTCATTCTTTTGTTTTAAGGAGTACAACCTAAGAACTTAATGTACAAGTGCCAACACCCTGGTATAATGTGACTTACTCTGTGTGTTAGCAATCCTGCAAATCTTCAAAATTAAGAGGATTTTCTAATATGCCTTTATCAGCACTCACATGGAAGATAGAAGCACCCACTCATTATGTCATCTATGTACAGAAAAAAAAAAGAGCAGAACATTTTCTAATCCTAGAAACCTGTGCATTATGTTATGACTTGGCTTATACATTTCTAGGGTTATCGTTTGAAATAGAAATTTTGCCAGGAAATTCTTAGTGCATGACATGCCTTTTTGAAATGTTTTCAGGGAAAAATGAACACCACAGAAGCCATTCGGAATTTTTAAATTAAATGTGTTTATGTAACACAGGTTCAAGAATTTCACCAGTTGGAATCAAATCTGCAAGTATGTCAGTTTCTTGCTGACACTCGCAAGTTTCTTCACCAAATGATCCGAACCATTAACATTAAAGAGGAGGTCCTGATCACAATGCAGATCGTTGGGGACCTTTCTTTTGCTTGGCAATTAATTGACAGGTAATGTGACCAGCCTACCATTTCCCCTGGATGAAGGCCACTGCGGATGTCTCCTTACCATTTCTCTCTCTTCACAGTTTCACATCTATCATGCAAGAAAGCATAAGGGTAAGCCCGTCCATGGTCACTAAACTTAGAGCTACATTCTTGAAGGTAAGCAGAGAACAGTTAGGTCATGTTCTTAGTCACTAGGGAAGAATTGGTCTCCGTTACTACCTCATGCCTAAATTCAGCCCGAGATTTCATTCTTTTAGAAAGTTAGGTAATTTGGATCACCTGGGTGGCTCAGTCGGTCGGGCGTCCAACTTCGGCTCAGGTCATCTCGCGGTTCATGGGTTCGAGCCCCACATCGGGCTCTGTGCTGACAATTCAGAGCCTGGAGCCTGCTTCGGATTCTATGTCTCCCTCTCTGTCTCTCTGTCCCTCCCCCACGCGTGCTCTGCCTCTGTCTCTCAAAAATAAATAAACATTAAAAAAAAAAGTTAGGTAATTTAAGTATTTTTATAAACTGAAAATTGTTAGTTTTTCCATGAGAGCAAAGTTTGAAAAGATGCCACGCATATTGGAAGTTTCAATTAATACAAGTTGGATGTCTTATAGAAGGTAGTGTTTACATTAAAAAATACGTTTTTTCAAGTTTTACCAGTATGCTAAAAGTGTGGGTCCTTTTTTCCCTAGATGTGAAGTAAGTCCTTTTACTTACTCATTTAAAAAAACTCTTATTGAGCCTCTGCTACAAGCTAGGATCCCCTCCAAAGTTTAGGGAACAGTGGTGGACAATTCAAGTATAGCTGTGCTCCCAAGATAATTCCAGATCGAGATAAATGAACAAAAATTTACTCAGCGTCTTCTGACAGAGTTACCTCATGTATCAGTTCTGAGATGCACTTTCTTTCGTATTTAAAAATCTCTCTAGGGGCGCCTGGGTGGCGCAGTCGGTTAAGCGTCCGACTTCAGCCAGGTCACGATCTCGCGGTCCGTGAGTTCGAGCCCCGCGTCGGGCTCTGGGCTGATGGCTCAGAGCCTGGAGCCTGTTTCTGATTCTGTGTCTCCCTCTCTCTCTGCCCCTCCCCCGTTCATGCTCTGTCTCTCTCTGTCCCAAAAAAATAAATAAACGTTAAAAAAAAATTAAAAAAAAATAAAAAAATAAAAAATAAATAAAAATAAAAATCTCTCTAATTGGGGATGGGTTTTATAACTGACAGCACATCATAGTTCACCATAAGCATGTTCGCTTCTTTCCGAGTGGTACAGAAAATAATGGTACTTCTTCCATGCTGTGACCTCTCCGATTGGAATGAGTACAGTCAGCCATCAGTCACAGTGTCTGATTTCCATAGAAGAGTAGCTGCCTTCTGGAACACAGTGGCTCTCAAACTTGAGGGGCATCAGAATCACCTGGGGGGGGCACCTGAGGGACTCAGTCAGTTAAGTGTCTGACTTCCGCTCAGGTCATGATCTCGCTGTTCATGATTTCGAGCCCCGCGTCGGGCTCTGTGCCGACATCTCAGAGCCTGGATCCTGCTTCAGATTCCATGTCTCCCTCTCTCTGCCCCTTCCCTGCTTGTGCTTGCGCTCCCCCCACCCCCCAAAAGTAAATAAGCATTAAAAAAAAAAATTGGCATCTGTAACAAGTCCCGGCTGATGCTCATGCTGATGCTGCTGGTCTGGGGGCCACAATTTGAGAACCACTACCAAAGCAGATGACTGTCGTTTTTTTAGAAAGTGTATCATTGTCAGAAACTATTAATGACTTTGATGAGTCAGTGGTTGTTGCATTATCTTGGGTAAAGCCCCAGAGCTTTGTTGTATGTTACTATTTCTGGAAAGAGATTTCTAGGACTTCTGGAAATGGAGAAACACATGTACCTACTTTTCTTGCAGCTTGCCTCTGCCCTCGATCTTCCCCTTCTTCGTATTAATCAAGCAAATAGTCCTGACCTTCTCAGTGTGTCTCAATATTACTCTGGTGAATTGGTGTCCTATGTGAGAAAGGTGAGAAATGCATCAAGGTGACATTTATTTTATTGGCAAACTGACTGCTCTTCTAAATACAAAGAGGATGCTTGGGGCCCTATGAAAAGTATACCCGTGTTCCTTTCCCTTATTCTTAACTTGATTCCAGAAACTTGCAATACCTGAAAATAAACTTACTCTTACTGGTATTGTGGATATGCAGATGTGTTTTTACTTTCAGGGAACTTTTGCACCTGTTTTTAAGTGCTGGTGGTATTAACTCCCATTCTGCGCTTAACAGAAACTGAGGAATAGAGATTATATTGGCTTCTTTAAAGTCACCGAGCTAGTTGGTAAAAGAACCGGATCTAGATCCAGCACATCCTAGTTGGAGCTGTAAGTTTTCCCGGGAACTTTGGTCCTCGTTTCAATAACTTACGGTGCAGCGTGGAGCCAGGCAGACCTGGCCGCAAAATTTCGCTGTGTCACCTGCTGACTGTGCTACGGCCACATTACTTAACATCTCCGAACCTCAGTCTTTTACAAGTTTATAACGAGGAAAAGATACATCTTTTTGCTGCACGTGTATGGGGATTAGCTGTGTATCTTGTGAGCATTTGCTGCACGTGTATGGGATACATCTTTTTGCTGCTGTGTATCTTGTGAGCAATTAACGTTTGAAAGAATGTAGCCATGGGCCTGAGAGCAGATAGTAAAGTACCTCCTTATGTCCCTTCCCGTCCCTTTCTGTAGACAAATGCCTGTGTGTACAAGGTGGTGCTGTCTTAACTGCCATCCTGGCATTTATCAGCTAAGAAAAATAAAAGACATATCCAACTGTTTTCCTTCTTTTCTCTTTCACTAAAGGTTTTGCAGATCATTCCAGAAAGCATGTTTACTTCGCTTCTAAAGATCATAAAGCTTCAGACCCACGATATCATTGAAGTGCCAACCCGCCTGGACAAAGACAAACTGAGGGACTATGCTCAGCTTGGCCCACGATACGAGGTGGCGTGTCCCTTTAACTTCTGCCTTTTGATGATTTAAAACCCAAACCACGATGTGTCACGGGTCTGTGTCGCCTGCCATATCCCTAGGAGCGCCAGACCAATTATGATTTGTCTTTTCCTACTCTCCTGTGATAGCTTCATTCGTTACCACGTCCTGGGTTATTTCAGGCCTTGCCTGCCTGAGTGTTCTCAGAGGACGGGGAGCTCAGCTGGCCTCTTTTCTCCGTGAACAGTCCTGATGAACCAGCCCTTCTTCTCTTTGGGTTAGATTGCCTAGACCTTTTGCATTCGGGTTCCTGCTTTGTACATCAGATCAATGGCTCAAAGTAATCTGGATTCCATTAAACCATTTCCTACAGCCAGACTGTGAAGCCACTCAATAAGTAAGCAGCCCCAGAGGTGGTTCCTCCCAAATACCTCTGCTTTTCTTTCTCCTGAACTTAAAATTAAAGATGTGAAAAAAGTGAAATCAAGTGGAAATTGACATTATGAAGTCCACTGTCATCACCTTTCATCCCAGCATCAGTTTCTACCACCTCTGACACAGCTCCAAAAATTGCATCAGGAATTTCAATCTGCAAGCTTGAAATTTACATATTTATTCTAACTCAAAAACACAGCACCTGTCTACCATACCAGTGCCTCCCGGTGTGGCTTGAAAAAACTCGTAGAAAGCGTAAAGATTAACTTTTTAGACTCTTGGTGAGCCTTTTCTACTTGGAAAGGACCATCCATCTCATTGAATCCTGCCTGCTTTTTATGTGTGAGAAACTGAGGCCCAAAGAAGGGGAGATGATTGGTCAGTGTTTAAGAACTATTTCATGTCTGCTGACCCTGCCCAGCATGTCTAATGGCAGTGCCTTGCTTACACCACAGCACCTCATTTCTGACCGGGGCCCATCACTCCCGCTGTCTTTGTTCATTTCAGGCTGTCAGCCAATTATTTTCACTTCCCTTAGAAAGGATGGGTCTTTTATCTGAAGTACTTCATTAACTTTTTTTTCTTTGTTAAAGGTTGCCAAGCTTACTCACGCTATTTCCATTTTTACTGAAGGCATCTTAATGATGAAGACAACTTTGGTTGGCATCATCAAGGTAATGGCTTTGATACTCATCCACGTGGCCTTGTAGTAATAAGACTCTTAGTTTGGATCACCAGGGTGTTTCTCCCATGGGGAACAGGGAAGGCGATTGTCATCTTGGGTCCCTTACTATTTCACATGCAGCTCTCCATCTTCATTTTACTCGTTTGTTGATGGAGGAAGGGAGAGCATTATAATCCTGATTTTTCATCATGCCCAAGAGTTACTTAAATCTAAGAAAAATCCATTTTATTGAATTTTTTTATTAAAAACATTTTTTTATCATTTATTTTGAGACCGAGAGAGTAGGGAAGGGGCAGAGAGAGGGTGAGAGAGAGAATCCCAAACAGGCTCCGCACTGTCATTGCAGAGCCCCATTCGGGGCTTGAACTCACAAACCATGAGATCATAACCTGAGCCAAAGTTGGATGCTTAACCCGCTGAACCACCCAGCCACCACTTACTGAATTTTTGTAATAATGAAACAAAATAGTTCGTTTCCCTTTGGCCAAACAGCTGGCTCACTCTCTCCCACCCTTCTTTCCTTTTAGTATTTTTATATTGCATCTCAGGTGCAGAGAGCTGAGCTGATCCTAACCCATCGTCATTGTCTGGCCATTGTCCTCACTGATGCGTGCTCGTTCCTCTCTTCATCCTTTCTTTCTCATCTGGACACCCATTCCCATTTCCATCCCCAATAGCACCCGCTCTATGTGTTTGATTTCTGCCCCTAAAGAGGCAAGTAATCCCGTATTTTAAACATGAGGTGTTACTTTATGTGTGCATGTGTTTGATTTGTCTACATCATATTGTACTCTAAGGCTCATTCTTTTTTCCAACTCTTCTCGCTAGTTATTGCTTTTGAAATTTGTTTGTATTGCTGTAGGTTGGACAGTTGGTTACTTCTTACTGCTGTGTAGAATTGTACATTTTACTTAACCATTCTCCAAGACCCAGGCACCTATGTTGTCATTTTCACTCCAACGCTCCCCATTGTCATGAGCATCTCTGAACATGTCCCTGCTGTAGGGCCTGTGTCTGAAATCTGACTCCCCAGGTGTGGATCACTAGGTCTTAGGGTGTATTTATACTTAATTTCTCTCAGTACTGCCAGATTGCCTTCTGAAATGACTGTTTCTCTGGTGTCTGTCCACATTTTTGACAATATGTGTTACTATCTATGTTTTAGTTTTTGCTCCCCAAAGAGTATAAAGTGTTATCTCCATACTATTTTAATTTGTAATCCTATGATGACTAGAGATGTGCCCATTCACAGAGTTCATGGTGCTTGTATTTCTTTCTCATTTATCAGACATCAGTAGAATCTATATATTTCTGATTTTTATTTTAAAAAATGTGTGTCTATTGAATTGCCAGATTAACACTTATGTTAATAAAATCCAAGAAAACCTAAATAGAAATGAAACTTTAGTGTATGGTTTCTGGATGTGTGCTGAAATACCATTGTAGTCCTAGAATATTCACAGAACCCACTGAACATCCTTTAGACCTGATGCCAGTTTAATTCAGTTGATATGCAAAGAGTATACATGGAGGTAGTCACTTCTTACTAATCCATAAAGTGGTGATAAATCCTGGGACCAGATTAAGCATCTTACATGCAAAATGACCAGTACAGAAAAGGTACAATACCTCATAATCAACAATAATTATCAAAAGAGAACCTGCTTACGAAAAAGGCAGATCTTTTGCTATAGTCTTTCAGATGAGAGCCAGGGAGAATATCATCTTGACCATATTCAACCCAGTAGACTTTCTCTGCCAGTCTAACAGTTCGGCTTTCGGTAACAGATCCGGTGGCCCTCACAAGTCTTCAGCCAACTAATGTTAAGCATCTATTTCAGACATTTATAAAATGTGTAACTGTCCTTTAATCCATATGACGTAAAACAAGTGAGATATACACAGAGGTGTATGTATAGATGTTCATTGTCAGTGGTAGCCATACAAAAAAAGAATAGAAATAATCTAAGCATTTATCAGTGAGAGAATGGCTGAATATATCATGGTGTGTTCCTACTGGAGATTGTTTGGCTGCCGTTCAAAAAGCTTTTACCACTCGGGGCGCCTGGGTGGTTAGCCTCTGACTTCGGCTCAGGCCACGATCTCACAGTTCGTGGGTTTGAGCCCCACATCAAGCTCTGTGCTGACAGCTCAGAGCCTGGAGCCTGCTTCCGATTCTGGGTCTCCCTCTCTCTCTGCCCCTCCCCCACTCGCACTCTGTCTCTGTCTCTCAAAAAGAAATAAAAGTTAAAAAAAAGCTTTTACCACCAAAAGATTTCTAAAATTTAAAGTGGAAAAAGCAAATTGCAGAACAGTGTGTGTGTGTGTGTGTGTGTGTGTGTGTGTGTGTATACATACGTATTATGGTCCCATTTAGACTTTTTAAATTAACTATGTATTGAGGACAATATTTATGTGTAGAAATTAATAGAGAAAGGTCTGGAGGATCCATGTGAAAAGGGTTAACTGTTATTAACTTCAGAGGAGGGGATAGAAATGTGAGGGAAGGGGCTGTGTGCAAGGGGCATTCTCTAAGCTGCAAGCACTCTATAGATTGGTGAAAGGTTTAGAAAATTGGAAGGACCATTTAAGACCTTTGTTTTCTTGAAAACAGTTAACTCTTTTTCACTAAATCTGTTTTTTTTTTAATAAAGAATCTTTTTTTTTAATGTTTATTTATTTTGAGAGAGAGAGCATGCACATGTGTGTGCATGTATGCGAGTGGCCGGGGGGGCAGAGACACAGAGAGAGAGAGAGAGACAGAGAGAGAATATCTCAAGCAGGCTTGGCGCCATCAATGCAGAGCTGATCTCAGAGCCTGAACTCACAAACCATGAGATTGTGACCCGAGCTGAAATCAACACTTGGATGCTCAACCGACTGAGCCACCCAGGTGCCCCTCACTAAATCTGTTCTTTATAAGGAGTATTTCTTTGAAAACGTCATGTTACTTCTTTGATTTCTTTTTCCTCATTGATTATATCTAGTTATAATATACCTTTGTATTGTGAAATAGGGCACACATACTCAAAGCTGTAGATCCATTTACATAGTTTAACGGGTTATTACAACCACCACCCAAGCCAAGAAACATAATTTCCCAGCTCCTACCCCAGGATCCTCCTCATGTGCCCTGACCTAATCCTAGTCTCTCCATTTAGAGTTTTATTATCTAAAGTCAATCTGTGGACACTACATTAAAAAAAAAAAAATACATTGTCTTTTAAGTCTTCAGGTTTCTCCTCCATTCTTTTCCTTTCTCACAGTTTATCTGGTCAGGAACCCACAGCCTCTGACTTGTTGTTTGTCCGAAGTCTGGCTTTTGCTGATTGTATAGTCATGGTGTAGCTCAGCATGTTTCCCTGGCTCTTGTATTTTGTGTAACTTTCATTGCAATTGCCATTCTTAAGGTTTAAATATAATCAAACCCAGATGGAACCCATCCGTTTGTCTTTATGACTTTTAAAAGTAATGGCACCTTGCAAATTAAAAATATAAGAAACAAGTTGCAGGGAATTTCAAGGGATTATGTTGAAACTATTTGATGTTTTCTGGATTTGACAGGAGATTGTCTTTTAGGGAATAATGGATGCTTTCTCATTATAGAAAAAAGAACCAGCAAAATCAGCTTATAGAGGTAGATAGCAGATTTGCCTTCCTGTTTTATCTCCCTAATTACAAACAGCATTCCAAGAATGCTGGAAGAAAAGAGAATTGTTAAGTCTGTCCAACCCCACGTTTGAGCTTGCTCATGCGGATGTAGGTGGCGTCTGGAAGAAAGGCAAGGCCAGGCCGTTCATTCCCCTCTGCTCCTGGTGAGAAGAAAAGGCACTTTTTACTTTTAATGAAATGATTAAAATGAGAGAGGCACTTTAAAATTCTTCATACCCACCATCTTTGGGATGTCATGTTGTAAAATTACCATCATGAATTTTACGGAGGCCAGCCGAGTCCTAAAGAGGTGACAGGTTCAACAATTCTGTCCAAGCTGCACAAGATCAAAGAGACGGGAAAGGAGAAAAGTCCCAATCATTGGGAAATGGGGTGGGAAAGTGCTTCCCTGCAGATTCCAGAAACTGTCTTTCCTTTGGATTTCGTCATGGCTGAACTTTTCCTCACGGCCATTTATTGCTTTTTGATTTGCACGTAGGTGGATCCAAAACAGTTGCTGGAAGATGGAATAAGAAAGGAGCTAGTTAAACGTGTTGCTTTTGCTCTTCATAAGGGACTGATCTTCAACCCCCGAGCCAAGGTACCAGATGACCACGTGGGTCTGTCCTTTCTCTCTGCCTCCTAACACATACCTGATATATGATGGTCAGCGCAATACACTGATGTGTTTTTTGATCCTGTGTTGTAATCCTTTCTTATGATAAGAAAATCCTTACCAAAACCAGCCCTTTCCTTGTTGATCCCCCAATTTAAGAATTGAACGGATGTCTGTGATTCAGGGTCACTTCTTAAAAGAATTTCTTAACCCTAAAGCAGATCAGGACTATGAAGCCTGTAATTTTTTTTTTTTAATTTTTTGAATGTTTATTATTTGAGAGAGATACAGAGACAGAGAGCAAGCAGGGGAGGGGCATAGAGAGAGGGAGACACAGAATCCGAAGCAGGCTCCAGGCCCTGAGCTGTCAGCACAGAGCCTGATGCGGGGCTCGAACCCACAGACCACGAGATCATGACCTGAGCTGAAGTCAGCACCCAACCGACTGAGCCACTGAGGTGCCCCTGGCCTGTAATTTTTTATTTGCCTTGACCTAACAGATCATTTTTCTCAGGAGGAAAACAAAAATGGGCCTAGAACTTGTATCTAGGGTTCTTTTCACTCCAGTAAATTCAATTTAAAATATTTTAAGTATTTGAAGGTTGGATGTATTCATCAAATGACATGAGAGAAATCATCAACGTTCATTTTCCATATTCTTTTGTGTGAGACTCCCCTCCCAAATGAATGAAACCTCTTCTTTGCTGAATGTCTGAGCACTCATGCTGGATGAGGTAGGAAATGGGTATTTCCCCAAAGCTCTCTTAAACTCTCACTGTGTTTTAGAGAGGGGTCTTATTTAAAGTCTAATGTAGATATTAGTGGTTGACAGTCTACCCCAGTGTAATAGATTTGTGTTTCCTCTTTTGCACAGCCAAGTGAGTTGATGCCCAAGCTGAAAGAGTTGGGGGCTACCATGGATGGATTCCATCGCTCTTTTGAGTACATACAGGACTACGTCAACATTTATGGTCTGAAGATTTGGCAGGAAGAAGTTTCTCGTATTATAAATTATAATGTGGAACAAGAGTGTAATAACTTCTTAAGAACAAAGGTATCTAATTAAATTGTAAAATTCTGGACCGTATTTGTTATTCAGACATTTAAAATACATGCCCTGAACCTCAGAAATAGCAATAAGAAAATTTATTTAAATAGTTACTAAAAATCGGTTAGCATTAGATAGTCACAGATCCCTTCAGAGTACATTCAGGAGCCGTGAGGGTTCCAGAAAAGTTTATAGGACACCTGACCTCCAAGAGTTTACCATCCTAAGGAGGAGGGAGATGTAATTAAATGGCCACAGAATGAAGCTGTTGTAAATGTCATAACTCCCGTGATCAAGAGTTCAGAAGGCTTGATCAAGGAGTTCAGGCCTGATCGGAGTATGCACATAACAGCAGAATTGCTGGGTCATGTGGCAGTTCTATGTTTACCTTACGGATGAACCACCAGACCACTTTCCACAGCACCTGCAGCATTTTTCATTCTTTCCAGCAGCATCTGAGGGTTCTCATTTCTCCATATCCTTGCCAGCGCTTCTTGTTTTGCTTTTTTAACAAAATTCTAGACGTCCCCGTAGGGGTGAAAGGGTATCTCATTGTGGTTTTGATTTGCATTTCCCTGGTGGCTAATGATGTTGGGCGTCTTTTCGTGTGCTCATTCACCATTTGGATGTCTTCTTTGGGGAAATGTCTACTGAAGTCCTTTGCCTATTTTTTAATTGGGTCATTTGAACACCAGATTCTTAAGTGTCATGGCTGAGAAGTTTGATTTTTAGTCAGTAGTTGACAAGGAGTAAGTTTTTGATTAGGGAACTGACGTGATTCAGGTGATGTTTTTGAAGGATTAAGCATCTTCCAGCCTTGTGATATTTTGGAATCTTATTATCATGTCGATGCATGTTAACCTAGAAGACAAAAAGCCAGAAATTCCCATCTCTCTTCTAACTTCTCCTCAGTCACTTCACTTTTCACAAATATTTCTTCTTTTATAAATGTTACATGTAGCATTTCTCGGGGGCTATTACCCCAGTTTTAAGTTTTTTTCTTCCAAACCAAGGAGCATTTATTGTCACTGTTTATGCAACATCATATTTGTAAAACTAGGTAGAAAAAATAATAACTGGTTATCTTATCAAAGACGTACGGTTGACCCTGGAGTAGCATGGATTTAAGCTGCATGGGTTCATTTTGAGCTGCAGGGGTCCATTTTTACACTGGTTTTTCCCAACAGATACAGTACAGTACTGTAAAATGTATTTTCTCTTCCTTATGATTTTCTTAACATTTTTCTCTAGCTTATGTTGTACAAATACAATGTATAATCCATTTAACATACAAAATATATGGTAATGGACTATGTCATTGATAAGGCTTTTCTGGTCAACTGTAGGCTATTAGTAGTTAAGTGTTAGGTGAGTCAAAAGTTGTGTGTGGATTTTCAACCGTGTGTGGGTCAGCGCCCTAGCCCCTGTGTTGTTCAAGGGCCCACTGTACTAAGTGTTCATGGTTTTGTTTTGTTTTGTTTTGTTTCTAGATTCAGGACTGGCAGAGTATGTACCAGTCTACTCATATCCCAATACCAAAGTTTACCCCTGTGGACGAGTCTGTAACATTTATTGGTCGACTCTGCAGAGAAATCTTGAGGATCACAGACCCAAAGTAGGTGTATCTAAACTCCACTGGGCCTTGAACACTGTGGACGATAGAAGTCTCTGAACATCTTCCTCACATCACACCCTTGTTCCTACTACACTTGGATCTAGTGGGTTTATTAGAGTCACTTTTTTTGAGACTGGGTATTTTCTGCAGTGGGACTAAGGAGACCCCAGTCCAAGGAAATGGAGATCAAAATAACTTTCAGGTCTGTTCAGCCACCTTCTAGTTTTATGTTCTTCTCACTTTCCAACTAACATTCTACTCACTTGGGCCTGCAGACTCCCTAGTATGTTAAAACTTTTTTTATTACGGATTTGCTCATCTGTACCTGTAACTGTGGCACACTCCTCCATTCCAGCCACCAGGTCTTACATTTATCAGACCCTGACGTTTGGAGATTACCCCCACACCCACGCACTTGTGTAACATTTACCTTGTACACACTTTTCAGCACATTGTATGCATCCCTGATACTCATTACAGCCATCTCTGACATAGGCATTGTTATTCTTCCCATGTTAAAGGGAAGTAACTGAGGCTTAGTAAAGCTAAGTCACTTGCCCAAGATCTGGGCCTAAATGGTAGATCCAGAATACACACCAGCCCTCTGACTCCAGGGCCCAGCTCTTAAGTGCCGTGCTGTTAAGGGCGGGCTGCATAGCTTTGCAGACAGTGGATCACAGTTTATATACACAGTCACATGAGTGAACATCTCCTGTGGTCAAAACCACCCTTAAGAATATTTTAGGTGGGCACCATGGGAGACCCTTGCACACTCCTTCCCTCATTACGTCTCATTTTCCTTCTCCTTCTCAGTTGAGCTTCTGATGAGGTAGTCGGTACGAAGCCCAGCTGAAGGAAGGGCCGGCTCACGTTTTCTGTGTCCTGTCTACCCCTGTGCACACGCTCACTGAGTAGAATGGTTGGTGGGATTACCCAGGAAAAGAGGACTTCTCTTCTTTCTCTGTCCAGCTGTGCATGCATACTTGAATTTGTGTAAGCCAAATGGCCTTATGACATGTCTCCTTTGTACAGCCTTCAAATTCTGGCTTATTTTATCTCTTCAAAAGTTATGCAACTTGGCACACTATATGTAGACTTCTTCCAAAAGTTACAGCATAAATGAACTTTGTCTGTGACTCATGGGCCAAAAGGAGTAAATGATCCAAAACATTTTGTAACACCTGCTTTCTGGGTACCCACGGGTGGGTCACCGAAGCCCTTCTAGAAGACTATCCACCTAATGCCATGTTAAGACTTGTAGGAAGGATTAAGCATGCTTGGGATTTCCATGTCATGTTATTGGCTTACTCATCGACATGGGGAGCGCCTCAAGTGACACATTCAGCCTCTCCAGTGCCAGCCCTGGGTGATCGAATCAGGACTCTCCGAAGCCTTAAAGTAGGATGCAGTTCTGGAAATCTTGTTCTTCCCATTTACTTCCAAATGTAAGCTTCCTTCTTTCCCGTGCCTCATTTCTTAAAGATATGTCCTTAAAGGTGTGTCTTAGAACTGGGGGCGTGTCGTCTGTGGAGTTTACTGGAATTTCAGAGGCTGGGCTTCCACCCCAGACCTGCTGAGTCAAACCCCAGGAATGGGATCTGGGCACATATTTTTAAGTGATTGAAGGTCCCCGTGCCAGCACTTGAGAACAGAAAGATGGTGGTTAAGGATACGGTGTTGGAATCAGGCCTCGCTCTGTTGTGTCGTCTGTAAAACAAGGGTCACACAGCTCATGTATTGCAGAGCCATGACGACAATGACCCCGAAGAGCACAGAACCTGATGCCGAAGAAGTGCTCAGTAAATACCATTGGTTGTTAGCATTGCCGTCCGCGCACTCCTGAGTCTAAAAGGAATCATTGGTTGGTGACCAGAACTGGGAGGAGAGATGAAAGGTCTTTGTTGCCATAGTCACAGATGTTTGATAGGGCAGCAGGATTCAAAGTTCTTTTCTTATCAAAGTGGAAGTGACACGAGCCTCTTACATCCCGATCTTTGGGAATTTAAGGAAAGACGCCGTGGAGTGAAAACTGGGCGCTAATGCCTTCCAGCCTGACAGCCAAATCCGACCTTGGCCTCTCTGCTCAGCTGCAAACAACAGTCCAATTCAGTGGAAATGAATTAGTCCAAGCGGTGACCTGGCATAGGGCAGGAAACGGTGATTTCACTGAATTTTGCCTTCCTGGCCCATTGGGCATTCACCGTGAGATACACTGGGTGCCTGGACGCAGACGTTATTAAACGAATCACGTCATGTCATCCCTTATATCTGGTACCCAAATCCTGTTATGTCCCCCATCTCCTCAGGATGAACTCTGAGCTGCTTTTGGGTTTTGAGTTTTTTGTCTTTCTTTTAGAATGACATGTCACATTGACCAGCTGAACACTTGGTATGATATGAAGACTCACCAAGAAGTGACCAGCAGCCGGCTCTTCTCAGAAATCCAGACCACCTTGGGGACTTTCGGTCTGAACGGGTTAGACAGGCTTCTGTGCTTTATGATTGTCAAAGAGCTACAGGTGAGCCTTTCGGCCTTCATGCATGGTTCCTGCTACCCTGGGAGAGATTTAACTTTTCTTTCATGCTTTCCTATCCTGACACGAGGCACACACATACATGCTTCTTGTCAGGTAGATAAGAATTGAGAATAAACTAGAATTTCCTTGGCCAACACGGTAGTTTTTTGGATGGACCGGTTTTGAGAGTTTCATGTGAGGAAGTTGAGACTCTCTTTGAAACGAACAACTCCTCTGAGCAAGGGGTATTTCTAACAGGACCTAGAAGTTGCCATTTCCCTGTCATCCTTTATAACATTTTATGACTTAGCCCAGGCTGTGTTACATATACATTTGAGTTCATTGGAGTGTTGTTCATTTTGTTCATTATGTTTGGTTCTTCTGTTGTGTCTTCGTGTTTTAGAATTTCCTCAGTATGTTTCAGAAAATTATCCTGAGAGACAGAACTGTGCAGGATACCTTGAAAACCCTTATGAATGCTGTCAGCCCCCTAAAAAGCATAGTGGGTAAGTGTTCTGAAACCAGTCTGAGATGGAGGTAACACTGGCTTTTCCAGATTTACTAAATAGAAAATTTTATTTTCACCTTTCAGCAAATTCGAATAAAATTTATCTTTCCGCCATTGCCAAAACACAGAAGATTTGGACAGCTTATCTCGAGGCTATAATGAAGGTATGTTATGGGAGAGAGGGTGATCATCAGTACTGTATTTTTTCAACTATTATCTTCTTATAACTTTGTCACCCAGAGAAAGCTACTCTTCTTTCTTGCGTCATCAAAGCAAAAATACAACACTTCAGTTTATCATTATTTCTAAGTTCATTTGTCCTTTATCTTCCTTTCTGGGCTGTTCTCGAGTATGTTTTCATTTATGTGGCCCATCGTTTTGCTTAACCTGAAGAAAGCAGTTTCTTTCTGGAACGACCTGGAGCAAGAAGTGCTTTCACACTAGGAGATGTAAACCTTCCTCCCTCAGGGGTGCTCCGTCCTGAGGTGTGACAGGTTTATTTACTGAGCGGCTCTGTCAGTGTCCAGCCCTGGTCCTCTCCAAGTAGGTGCTAGAACAGGACATTTGCCTCTCTCCCCTCTTGTGTCCGCACAGATGTTACAAAGCCAAGTTCTCTAGGACACAAGTTATCCTTACACCCTGCAGAGAACACCGGGTCTTTGGAAACGAGTAAGAAAGTGAGGTGAAGAGATTAACATGGCGGATGGAAATCCAAGTCACTTTAGGAGTCGCTCATCTGTGCTCCTGCCTTCACGCTGTGGCATTGGCTTTGCATGTGCCGCGTGTCTTTCTCTCATCACATGATGATCCAAGACCTTCAGCAACGCTTTGTCGACCACTCATGTGCAAATCATTGTCACGTGCTACGAGACAGAGTTGGAGGAAACACTAGCTGCCCCCCTCAGAAAGCCTACGTACTGTCTCGTAGGAAAGAGGAGGTTTCCTGGTGGAAAACTAATCCGTGGTTACAGACATCACCTACCACAGGAAAAGTGTAGGCTGCTGTGGGAATTTGCGGAAGTTCCATTCTCTTGTTCCCAATTCTGTTAGTTGTTCGTTGAGACAGTACTCGTGGTGCCTCAGCCAAATTCACAATATATTTCCCATAATTGCAGTGAAAAAAAAAATGTGTTTTAATTTGGAAACTTAGATTAAGTAACACACAGAGCCTCTGGCTCTGCTGGATGTCCTCTTGTTCCATGTCTGGACGTCCCTTAGCCACGTGATTTCCAGGTATTGAGAGCTTCTCAGGCTAAGTTTCTAATTGCTGGAAAGCTTTCAGGAGGAATGGAGAATTACCTGAGGTCGGACAGGCCTGAGTCTCACCTCTGTGGGAGGCTGAGGGAGGTTGCAGGGATGCATCAGAGAGGTTCCCTAGTGGCTCTTACAGACCTCTGTGAGTCGTAATTGCTGGTCCTTCAGTAATCACCCAAGTATTTCGGCAAGTCAGTGCTCTTTACATAAAGCCCTCAAAGGACCAATTTGTCCTTTTGTCTTTTGGTGATCTGGAACAGTGATGGAGATATTCTGCACTGTTTGCTGGTAGCCACTGGCCCCATGTAGGTACTGAGCACTTAAGACATGGCTTGTGGGAGTGAGGAACTGAATTTTAAATTTTATTCATTTAAATCCGTTTAAATTTAAATAGCCGTATGCGGTTGTGGCTGCCCTATCCGTGCAACTCTAGAGAAACGGAGAAAGATGACAACCCAAAGATCTCTCTAGATGGGTAGATAGCATCACCTCCCAGGCTCCTTAGTCTCTCCAGAATATTCTTAAAGGCTTGTAGTAGGTGAGCACTGAAGAGAAAATGTTGGTCACTGAGATTCAATATTTAAATAAGAGCAAGTTAGGTTAAACTGCCTTTACTTCTGTTTCCATTTCTAGATTGGTATTTTCAAGGGAATCCTGGACATAGAGTAGAATTAAGAGGGAATTACGTGGCAGAGCAGGGGTGTGGGGGGCACCTGGGTGGCTCAGTCGGTTAAACATCCAACTTCGGCTCAGTCGTGATTTCATGGTTCGTGAGTTCGAGCCTCATTTCAGACTTTGTGCTGACAGCTCAGAGCCTGGAGCCTGCTCTAGATTCTGTGTTCCCGTCTCTCTCTGCACCTCCCCTGCTCACACTCTCTCGTTCTCTCTGTCAACAATAAGCATTAAAAAGAAGGAATTACATGGGGCAGATCAAAGTTGAAAGGACATTTTTGAGTGGCCTGATGGGAACCCACTGTCTTCTTGGCCTTGCCCTATTCTAATTTTTAAATAATAGTATTTTTCTATTTCTAAAGGTTTCTTATAAAAACATTTTTTGGATTTTATTTTTTTCATGTAAGTAGAATAATAATCTAGTAAGAATAGTGGCCAAAAGTAATACATCTGAGGCCATTTAACGCTTTTAACTGTTACGAGCTCCATTTATCTAAATATCTTTTCTTTGCTCTTCGGGAAGGCCCCTCTTTTTTTCTTAACCTTTCTCTGCTGCCAACCACTCAGAGGAAATGTGTCTATTCCTCCCTCACCATTGCTAACATTATAAAACACCTTCCCCCTATTCCTCCTCCTCTGTCTCTCTCTTGCTAATCTTTTGGGGATAGCTTCCCTAGAACAGACAAGAAGGAATTCACTGGCACAGAAAGTTACAGTCTACTTTTGACTTCCTGATGCCAACAACTGGGACTTTGTTGGAATGATGTGAACTCCGCCCCAGACCTGACCAGAGGTACTTTCCCATCACCTGGCAGGGGTCCTAGACGTCTCCGCGTATTGCTTATGCTCATCACTACTCGGAAATTACATGCTTGATCCACCACGCTAACATAATTCTGTATCACAGATCTCTTCTTTGAATAGTTTGAGAATTATACTTGGTTACAACTGGCTGCCATTGTTATCCTTCATGTTTTATTTTGCACATTTAAAAGAATTATTCTGGGGCGCCTGCGTGGCTCAGTCACCTCAGCGTCTGACTTCGGTTCAGGTCATGATCTTAAAGGTTTGTGGGTTTGAGCCCCACGTTGGGCTCTGTGCTGACAGCTTGGAGCCTGGAGCCTGCTTCGGATTCTGTGTCTCCCTCTCTCTCTGCCCCTCCCCTGCTCATGCTCTGTCTCTGTCTCTTAAAAAATAAATAATAAACATTAAAAAAAAAGAATTATTCTTGGATTGTGTCAGTAGGCTTCCCCAGATTCCCAGAGAGGTCCAGGATACCAAAAAAAAAAAAAAAAAATGGTTAGGAACCCACGGATGAGGGCTTATCATTGTTAGAAGGGCCTTTTTGGAAAATTTATGTAAGTTATTTTATAACCCAGAAGATTATGTGAACTGTAATCCTAGGTGACGCAGATAGGTTTATATTCACCAAATTTTAGGATAACGGAGTACAATGGCATCCTTAGGACTCCAGAAAGTTCAGTTTAGGACAAATAAAGGAAGGAGGGCTTCTCATTCGCAATTACTAAGCTTGGAGAACTTATTGCAAAAGGTCGTAAATAGAGCTTCAATACAGACACCTTTTTGATACATGAACAACGGAACGTTAATGGGTCACTTTGTAAAATATCGGACTTTGGGGATATTTGAGGTTGGCGTATAGGCGTCTGTCCACACATCCCTTGCAGGGTTCCTTATGCTCCGTCAAGGATGACGCTGGTCTTCACCGGGGAGCCAGTCCAGTCCTGTGGAATGTTGTCATCCTTCCAGTCAAAACTTGTCGTCTTTGTGTTGCCTCCTTGCCGTCCCTTTGCAGCGTGGCGTGTTCCACCTGTTCTTCCTCTTCCTCGTTCACAGGTGGGGCAGATGCAGATTCTGAGACAGCAGATTGCCAACGAGTTAAATTACTCTTGTCGGTTTGACTCCAAACATCTGGCAGCTGCTCTGGAGAATCTCAATAAGTAAGTGCCAGCGTTGGAAACAGCCATCCGTGGGCCCGGATTGTTCGTTATCGGTTAGCGCCCCAGTTTCTTCAGTACGTACTCTTTTACGTTCTTTTGGGGTAAGGAGGCTGTCTGCCCCTATGGCCTTCCTTCCCAGGGAAGACAGAATCGAACCGGTCTTTGTAAGCCTCCTCCCTCAGTCTTGTCTCTTGGTCTCAGTCTCTCTCTCTCTCTCTCTCTCTCTCTCTCTCTTACTCGCTATTGTTGGATTTCATTTATTCAGCCAACGTTTACTGATCACTTAGTACGCATCAGACCTTGTGCTAAATACTTGCACAGTTTGAGAAAGCAGTTATTACCAAATGCACAGCTGGATCTCCACAGGACTAGGTCACTGATCATCCGGAGGGCAGTTAGAAGTGTGTTAGTTACCAGCAGTGGCCGTGGGCACACATCCCGGAGTGCAGTCACATCCTCCACCTCACCAGCAACCTGCTCTCGTTTCCAGTCTCTACTTAAAAATAAACATCTGAGGGAGCCTGGATGGCTCAGTTGAGTCGGTTGAGCATCTGACTTGATTTCGGCTCAGGTCATGATCCCAGAGTCGTGGGATAGAGCCCTGTGTCAGTCTGCACTAAGCGTGGAGCCTGCTTGGGATTCTGTCTTGGGCTCCCTCTGCCCCTCTCCCCCACTCATGTATGTGTGCTCTCCATAAAATTAAAACAAACTTTTTTTTAATAATAAATAAATAACTCAGTGCTTTTGACAAAGCAGGTATTAAAACAGTTCAGTCAGTTCAGAAAAATTGGAACAGTGAGGGTCACCTGGGAGGCTCAGTCAGTTGAGTGGACCAACTTCGGCTTAGGTCGTGATCTCAGTTTGTGGGTTCGAGCCCCACATCGTGCTTGCCGCCATCAGCCTGTCAGCACGGAGCCTGCTTCAGATCTTCTGCCCTCCTCTCTCTCTGCCCCTCCCCTGCTCACGCTCTGTCAAACATTAAATAACAAGAAACAAAATTCTTTCTAATCAAAAAAGTTGGAACAGTAAAAGCATTTGATTTGGGTTAACTCCAAAAGATAAAACACTACTAGGTCAAATTTTCCACTTATAACCAGTCACAGGTACAGAAATTGAGAACTAGAAGGATCAAGCCTTCGTTTTACAGATCAGAAAACTGAGGCCCCGAAAGATGACGTCATAGCCCGTACTGACTGCTACGTGAATTGCGTTCATTGCTGACATTTATCCCTGCTTCGTGTTGTTTTGTGTCTCTCCTCTAGGGCTCTCCTAGCAGATATCGAAGCCCACTATCAAGACCCTTCACTTCCTTACCCCAAAGAAGACAACACACTCTTGTATGAGATCACAGCCTACCTGGAGGCAGCCGGCATCCACAACCCACTGAATAAGGTCAACGATGAAAATAAGGAACAGAGTGGTGGGAGGCGCATGGTACCGAGGGGGACTCGGCCCGGATAGCAGGTCACTTGCTAAAATATTGGGAGAACCTGGGTTCCAATCCCGGAACCTCCCTTCTCTTAAGCCCTCACTCTCCCTGAGTTTCAATCTCCCACGAGTAACAGGAGAATCACACCTTCCCTGCCTGATAGGGGCCGTGGGAATCGAGAGACACGGTGTTTGCCGCAGTTCCTTGAAAAGTGAGAAGTACTCTGTCTGTGGGAGATCAGTTTTAGGTTTGTCCGGGGTTGGGGATTTGAATTGCTGCTAAATGATGGCATTGATCCTTGATGCCCAAACACGCTTCCCTCCGTGGCTGATAGTAATCACAGCCATCATCTGGGGGCCACGGACGCTTTTTTGTACTTCTAGTTTCCAGAAGCCTCTGAGAGCTGAAAGTCTTTTCACAAGTTGGTGCCAGATCTCGTTTGGTGGCAAAACTTGTCCCGAACTAACATGAGGCTGTTTATGCTTCTGTGAATATTCATGTTTTGATGCAGAAATACTGATGACTTCGGTGGTAAGGTGTTACTTACACCCCTTATTACTTCTCTAAAATCTGTAAAATCTATATGATCCCCCCGGGCTTGGATGAAAGATCATGAGCCTGAATAGCAGCTGACATTTTTTTTTTTTTGAGTGCTCACCACGTGCCAAGCACTGCGAACCCCGACCGTGGGTGATGTCACTCCATCTCAGCAGCTCCATGAAACGTGCCGTGGTTGGGTGAGGAACTTGAGGCCGAGAGGCTGATGACCTCACCGGGGCTCCACTGTAGCATATGCGGCAGAGCCAGCCAGTTGGAGCAGAGCTGGGGCTGCTGGCCAGAGTGCCACGCTGCCTCCCAGGGCGGTGAGGGAAGCAGGGAGACAGCGGGATCTGCCCTGCCTGTACCGGCTGCACAAGACCTGGTGGGGGGCGGGGGGGCGGAGACTGCTCTGTGACATTGCACAAGGGAAAGCGAATGACACAGGAGACATTTGCTTGCTTTCTACTTAATACCATTCGCTGGCTGGGTGGATCTTCTTTCCTTCTTTCCTCCTGCCCAACCCTTTCCCTCCCTCCCCCCTCCCTCCCTCTGCCCTTCCCTACAGCTCTCCGTGGAATTTGTGCATTTTGCTTTCATCACACTTTCCCCTCTCCGGTTGTTTCTTTTTTTTCTTCTTCTTCTTTATTTTCATTTTATTTTTTTTATTTTAACTTGTTTTATTTTTTATTTTTTTTAAATTTACATCCAAATTAGCATCTAGTGCACCAATGATTTCAGGAGTAGATTCCTTAGCGCCCCTCACCCATTTAGCCCACCCCCCCTCTCCCGCGGTTCACATTTAGAGGATTCCCGGGGAAAGTAACTGCTATTCTCTAGGCAAAATTGTTCCCTTCCCAGAAGGGCTGATTTTTATATAGGGATTTATGTTTGCAGGGGTCAGTGGCGTTAAATGAAACTCTGAAGGCGGCAAATTAATGGAACCCTCCTAGTTTTAGGTAGTCTGCAGAGCAAAATGAAATAACGTGGAAGCTTCCCGTTTGAAAATGTGCTCTGCGGTATCGCGCACGGTGGAGAGACCCATCAATTTTGCTTCCCTTTTTCTCTTTCCAGATATACATAACAACCAAGCGCCTACCCTATTTTCCAATTGTCAACTTCCTATTTTTGATCGCGCAGTTGCCAAAACTTCAGTACAACAAGAACCTAGGTACCGTATGACATTTTTTGCCATAAGTAACAGTAACAGTGGATTCATACCTAACCAAACAGCTCTTCGTACAGAGAATGCTGCATCACCTACGAGCCCTTTCCTTAGTTCGATGCGTGTTTGTTTTTATTTTTTAATTTTTTTTCAATGTTTAGTTTTGAGGGAGAGAGAGACAAGAGTGTGAGCAGGGGAGGGGCAGAGAGAGAGGGGGACACAGAATCCGAAGCAGGCTCCAGGCTCCGAGCTGTCAGCACAGAGCCCGATGCGGGGCTCGAACCCACAAGCTGTGAGATCGTGACCTGATCAGTCGGACACTTAACCGACTGAGCCACCCAGGCACCCCTTCATTGTGTGTTTATAAAGTGCATGTCTTTGGGCCTGTGAAATATGATGCTCCTTCGTGATGTGGACAGTGGATTTGCCTTTTTTTTTTTTTAAGTTTATTTTAAAGTGTATTTATTTTGAGAGAGACAGAGACAGAGCATGAGTTGGGGAGGGGCAGAGAGAGAGGGAGACAGAGAATCCCAAGCAAGCTCCACTGTCAGCATGGGCCCGACACGGGGCTCCAACCCACAAAGCCATGAGATCATGACCTGAGCTGAAAGCAAGAGTCGGATGCTTAACGGACTGAGCCACCCAGGCGCCCCTAAGTTTATTTATTTATTTTCAGAGAGAGTGAGGAAGGGACAGAGAGAATCCCAAGCAGGCTCCGCACTGTCAGTACAGAGCCAGATGTGGGGTTCGAACTCACAAACCATGAGATCATGACCTGAGCTGAAATCAAGAGTCAGACACTTAATTGACTGATCCACCCGGGCCCCCCTACAGTGGATTTACCACGAACTAAGTACGGTCCGCCTTTAATTTCCAAACATTATCCAACCTGTAAAACGTGTGGGATCTTTGCTTCTCTCCTTTCCTTAATAGTGAGGCAGCTGATCATGGTGTGAGAGAAACTTGGTTAATGTTTCCTTCTCACAACAAGTGTCCTGAGCCTCCCGTGTGTATCGGGAGCTGCGGTATGAAAAGTAACGATACGATGAAGGAGAGAAGACCGACACCAGAATATCGAAACTTTAAGACGTGTATATGATGCCATGTGAAAATACTCGGTACGAGCAACAGCTACCAGGACCTTCCAGTGTGTGTGTCCTGTCCAGCAACATAGCCCGAATTTTTTTGCCATTGGGCACTTTACCTTGAGTATTTTTTATCATCTCTTACTTTTCTAATAGATTCCCAGGTACTTCCTCTGCCTCCAGACTTTGTATCAAAGTGGAGCTTTGTAAAGTCTGCTATAGAGTTCAATTTACTTTAGAAGTATTTTAAGAGCTTTTCTATAAATGTAACTCTATTATTTTTTAACCAGAAGTTCTAAAATGAAGTTCTTGCTTGAAGTATTTCTCTTCCTAATTCATAAGCTCTTTTAGGATAAAGATGTGGAGTCTCTTTAGGATTTTTACTCTCTGATTCAAAAATACTCCTTGATCCCAGGCACAGCTCCCATAACAGTACCTGTCCCTGGCGCAGACTTGCAGAGCACGGTGGCCCCGTAAATACTGCTGCAAGAATGAGGAACAGACATGTGTCCGGTTTCTGGCTCTCCCACTGCTCACTTCCCAGGGCTCACCTTGTGACTTTGGCCAAGTTACTTAACCTCTCAGGGCCAACCAGAAATAGTACCTGGCCTGGAGCAAGTGCTCCACTGATGCTAACCCCTTTTCTGTATATCGGTCAAAATCAGGGTAAAGGACCACCCCAAGGTGGATTTAAGAGTTCATCTCAAGACTCCGAGCCACGTTCTCCTTCTGTGGTCCCTGTTACAACTAAACAAGGATATATGATACTTCTGGGGCACCTGGGTGACTCAGTCGGTTGAGCATCTGACTTTGGCTCAGGTCACCATCTTATGGTTCGTGAGTTTGAGCCCTGCATCCCCCCTCTGCTGCCTCTCTCTCTCTGCCCCTCCCCTGCTCATTCTCTCTCTCAAAATAAATAAAAACTTAAAAAAAAAAAAAAAGAATATATGATCCTTTATAGTGATGGATTGTCAGTGCATAAAGATAATCTTGTTTTTATTAAAGAGTGTTCACTGGTCTCATTCTTAGGTGGTATTTCTTCCATTGTACAGCTGCTTATAGGAAGTATTCCCTTGAATTCCCAGATCTCTCAACAAAACAAAACAAATGAAACCTTTAGTGTCCTGGAGATGTATCTCTATCTGACTGCAGTTATTTTCATGAATTAAACTGATGTGTTAATCTGGGGACCAAAATAATGAAAAAGAGGACTAGGGTGCTCGCTTCGGCAGCACATATACTAAAATTGGAACGATACAGAGAAGATTAGCATGGCCCCTGCGCAAGGATGACACGCAAATTCGTGAAGCGTTCCATATTTAAAAAAAAAAAAGGACTAGGAAGGAACATCCAGGTGTTTGGACCTCAAGAAAACATTTATTTCACCTTGCGAGTGTTGCTCTCAACACTGATCTAAGAAACCCCTGCCTACCTTGGTCTGTCCTTTAAGGAAGCATCTCCACGGTGCCACATTCAGAGCGGAAGTTCCTTTTGTGAAGCATCGTGGTCGCTGTGTGCCTGGAAAGGGTTAATTCTCCATGTTCTGACTGCCGTTATTGTCTTGTATGGTAGATCCTTGAGCAAATTCAGAGTTGCCAAGGCCCAGGTTAGGGAAGTCAGGATAACTTGTTTTGGCATCTCTGGGTTAAGTGAGAGAGTTTCCGGTCTTCACAAGAGCCCAGAGATGGGATCTGAAGGTCTGGCCAGTTTAACGCCTTTCTCCAAAGCGCTGGACCATTTTACATCCCACCAGCGTTTGGCAGCGTAAGTCGTCTTACTTTTAACTGATCTGTTGGGTGTGTATGGTATCTTGTGGTTTTTAATTTGCCTTCCCCTAATGACTAATGATGCTGCGTGCTTTTTGGCCATTCTTTATATCTTTCTTTGTTAAGCGTTAACGTCTTTTGCCTGTTTTTAAATTAGGTTGATTGCTTTTTTATCACTAGGTTGTAGGAGTTATTTATATTTATGGATACTCTTTTTTTTTTTTAATCTAAATGGTACACACTACTCACATGGCTCCATTTCTTTTTCTTTTTCTTTTTTAATGTTTATTTTTGAGAGAGAGAGAGAGAGAGAGAGAGAGAGAATCCAAAGCAGGCTCTGCATGCAGGGCCCCATCCCATGAACCGTGAGATCGTGACCTGAGCCAAAGTCAGATGCTTAAGTGACTGAACCCCCCCTGGCGAACCCCACCTATTTATTTTCTTAGTGGTGACTTTAATGAGCAGAAATTTTTAATACTAATAATGTCCAGTTCATCCATTTGTCCTTTATAATCGTCCTTTTCTGTGTCCGGTCTAAGAAATCTTTGACTAACCCTAAGGTTACGAAGATATTCTCCTATGGTTTTTTTCTAGAAGCTTTGTGGTTTTAGCCCTTACATTGAGGTTTGTGGTCCATTTAAAATTACTTTCTATGTACAGTGTGAGGATATCCAGTGTCAGCACCATTTATTGAAAAGATTTCTTGTTCTCCATTGAGTTGTTTGGATATGTGTGGAAATCCAATTGTTCATATAAGGGCGGGACTGTTTCTGGATTTTCTATTCCGTTCCATTGATGATCTATTTATCCTCATGCCCGTACTGCCTTGATTACTATAACTTTATAAGAAGTCTTGAAATCAGGCCATGTAAGTCTTCCAACTTTGTTCTTTTTCAACATTGTGTTTCTTTCCCCTCAAAGACCCTAAGCTCTAGCTCCTGTTCCCCAAGCAGCCATCCGGGCAGAAGGCCAAGGCCTCCAGATGTGGGCAGAAGTCCTTAGTGAAAAAGCCAGATTTGGCATTCACCCATTCCACGAATTTCCTTCTTCCACCGTCCAGGCTTCTGCAGATTCTTTAATCACATAACGTTCCACGTTGTGTTTAAAGATACGTCTTAGAAATGTTATCCGGGATTCAGACTGTTTTCATGTAAGAGACTGGCTCAGCGTGGATAACATGCCATGCTGCCGTGAACAGAAGTTGCTTATAGCTAATTTTTACTTTCTTGTTTCCCTTTAAAGATACAGATCTTTAAACTTGTCTGCAACGGCGTGTGTTAATTGTATTATCCAAAAGAGACAGTGACGATGGTTATAAAAATCAGTAACCGTTTGACTCTGTCGGATCAGACCACCGGAAGCCCCCAGCAATCCCGGGCCGAATCCAAACAGTAGTCCAGAGTTGTTGTTCCCCAGATACTCATCTGCCAGTGCAGGCGCGGCCCCCAAACATGTTGACATTCACAAGCATTCATGCTGAATGAACATCGCCAAAGGCAAGCCCTTGGCTTTGGCGGCATAATTTGTGATTTGTCGCTCCTTTTGCAGGAATGGTCTGCCGGAAACCTGCGGACCCTGTGGACTGGCCACCGCTCGTCCTGGGATTGCTCACCCTGCTGAAGCAGTTTCATTCCCGGTACACCGAGCAGTTCCTGGCGCTGATCGGCCAGTTTATCCGCTCCACAGTGGAGCAGTGCACAAGGTACCGAAAGCCGGTCTGGAAAGAATAGAATCAATGTTACAGAATGGGCTATAAACCTTGCGTGCGAAGTTCCTCCTGTTGTCTCCCTCGTAGAGATGGGACTTGCTGTCACCCTGCTGTGTAAAGCAAGTCAGGACCCACCTTGTTCGTAGCAACTAAACACAACCCATCCGTAGTCACCCTGCTGGGGGAGCCCCCTCGGTGCACTCCACAGTGATTTTACAAGGACGAGTCATGACCAGGATTCGCGACCCCCACGGGGAAGAGAGTGCAGGCCTGTTCCTGCACTGCTGTCCTGGGTGCTGTGCTCAGAGCTCAGGGAGCCCGGCCCTCTGGCCAGGCCCCTGGCATAGGATGGCCCCACAGCCTTCGGCGGGAGTCAGGGAGCACGTCCGTGTCAGCCTGGGCACGGCCTGGGTTCCTGGTGTATGAGGAAACAGAAGTCACATCAAAGCCCCTATGGGATACAAGGCTCGTAAACCCTTTCTTCTTCCCGCCCCCCGAAAATGTGGCTTCTCTGGGATAGAAAAAAAACAGTTATTTGCAGGAGATGCTGGGTCCTGAGCCTCCTCTGTTACCCTGAAGGGTCAGGCCAGCTGACTAAATTTCTCTGGCATGTTGCACATCCAACGTCTGGAAGAGTACCGCCTGGTCACTTGGGTCAGTGTAACTTAAAGACTAATGGGAATGACCTTACAGGTCCTCACAGTGCACCCCTGACTGGACATGATTTCAGAGGCCGTTTAGTTTACCTCAGCCAGGATGTGAATCAGCGCTCAGATGCCCCTGGCAGGAACCATCCAGATCTGCTCGGACACCCCCCCTGGGTGAGGTACTCATCACCTCCCAAGGCCACACAGCCCTGGTCACTGGAAAGTGGCTGACTGTGATGAATGGAAAATTCCATCCTGTCTCTCTGAGATTTTGCTCTCTGGGCCTCCCTCCACGCTCTGAAATTAGAAGAAATGCAGTCTCCTTCCTTTGTGAATGTCAGCGGTTGCCTTAGGTCTTTTCCTTTAGATAAGCTGACTTCCACCTGTTCCTGTGCACCACGCCATGGCCACTCACCGCATCCGCGACCTCTTCTGGGGGTTCCAGTTGGTAATCCCACCACTTAATATGTGGTTTCCCAAACCCACACCGGGATTCCAAAAACAGCTGACCCCTTAAAGTGGAGGGGTCATAAGCTCCTTCATTCCGGGTCCCTTGTGGAGTGCAGTGCGGCTAGAATTGCAGGACCAGGTTCTTGACCTCTTGCAACCTTCTCAACCCCTGACCTCTTTTCCCCGAGAGCATCAGTCAGGCTAATTCTGCCCCATCTTAGTTAGCGGACCCAACGACAGACGGACGCTGGGTGTCTTTCTAGGACGTATGCGGAGACTTGCTTCCAATAGCCGACTTTTTAACAATTAAAAAACAGAAGGTAGCTCAGAAGGATGGGGAAGTCTCGGAAATGGAATTGCAGCAATTGCAAAACGAGGTCGGTTGCAAAGGGCAGCAGTGAGCACCCAAAAACCTAGTGCATCTGGCTCCGGACCGTGAAGAGGAAGCCAGGGCTGCAGTCAGCTTGGTCCAAGGCAATTGGGAAGTGACCTCCACACGGGCCACCCCAACCCCAGTCCCCCATCTGTCAGGAGCTGGCAAATCCTTCCTGATTCTTCCTCACCAGTGACTACAAAGCGTGGCTGTAGCACAGCCTGTTACCGGTGACCCTGACAGAGGTCACCAGGAGACGGGCATCAGGCCGCGGCTCGGTTTCTGGTTTGTTCAAGTGCAGTGACCTCAGGAGCGTGGGATGCACGGAGGCGCTCTCCCTTTCCCTCGCCGCCCTGGTCCTGCACTGAAAGATCGAGAGCAGCGGCAGCTTTTTTCCAGGTGTAACCACTCTTCAACCTGCTTTTCCAAAGCAAAACGTCATCAGGGAAACTAATCAGTAATCCAGTTCCATGAAATCCTTCATTAATCAGAAAACGCCGTTCTGTACGTAAATTAGAAATCGTTTTAAGAGCTGAAGATTCCTTCCGCTGTAAAGAAAGGGTGTAGGCTCCATGAGAAGCCTGTCACGTCCTCTGCTGCATCCGCAGCTCTGGAAGGGTTTGGGCAGCGTGGCGGTTGTGTGAGTGAACGAGTAGGATCCGTATGGGAAGTTACTGGACGCTGTACTGGACCCCTTCGAATGTACAGTAGGGGGCAGGTGCCGTCCCAGATGCTGAGGAGAGAAGGCTAAAGACAGGACCCAGGCCCTCGAGGAAACCAACATACAAACAACTGAAGACCTCCGAGACTTGGGGGAGAATACTAAGGATGCTCAAAGCGTACGAAAAGGCCATCTGCCCAGAGGAGTGAGGGAGGCCTTTCGAAGGAGGAAGAACCTAAGCTGGAACTGGCAAGATGCCTAGAAATTTCCTTGTAAAGTAGGCGTGCAGAGCAAATGGAGCCGCAGAGACCGGGGGCTGGGGAAGCGCGGCCCGTTCAGGGACCTGCCAGTTCTTGAATCACGAAGTGCAGGGTGGTGAGCAGTGAGTCTAGACGGACAGCGGGGGCCGTGTGGTGGAGGCCCACGTAAGCCATTCAGCGCAGACTGCATCCTCTGGGTTATGTTCTGAGAATACAGCCACAGGATAATGATATGAATCGAGAGGATGGTCTAGAGATTTTCTCCTTTGACTTTAGTGGTCTGTCGTTTCTCTAGTCTCAGTGTTTTGACTGAGGGTCCACCACGTGCAAAGCGGTGCATTGATCCAGACTGTTCTCTGTTGCAGCCAGAAGATACCTGAAATGCCTGCGGACGTTGTGGGTGCCCTCCTGTTTCTGGAGGATTATGTTCGGTACACAAAGCTACCTAGGAGGGTAAGCAGTAGACAAAGGACAATATTAAAGCCCTTTTTGTAAAAAGGTGCCATTAAGAGTGGCCCTGGAGGGGCGCCCGGGTGGCTCAGTCGGTTAGGCGTCCAACTTCGGCTCAGGTCATGATCTCACAGTTCATGGTTTGGTGCCCCACGTTGGGCTCAGTGCTGGCAGCCCAGAACCTGCTTCAGATTCTGTGTCTCCCTCTCTCCCTGCCCCTCCCCTGCTCATGCTCTGTCTCTCTCTCTCTCTCTCTCTCTCAAAAATAAACATTAAAAAAATTTTTTTTAATTAAAAAAAAGAGCGGCCCTGGACTCACCAGGGGTACAGTCCAGGAGCTCATCCCAGTGGATGCTCTGAGCCCCCCGGGCCCCCTTCTGCCCGCAGCTGTGAGCGCTCCTCCTTTCACTGCGTTTGGTGCTTCACAAGCCCGACTCTCACCACACCTACCCCCCTCCTCCCTCCCTACCACGCCCCGCTCCCAAGCAGCTCACCCAGCCCTGCTTCTGGTTCCAGAGGAATAGGTGGGCAGTCCAGGAGGGAATCCTGGAGGCAATAATTGTGTGGGTGGTTTTTCCCCCGCTTCCCACAGCAAGTTCAGTTCAGTTCACACCACAACTAACGTCATATTTACCTAGGGTTTCCAAAAATGGCTTCATTTTTTTACTCCCCAAGATAGTCTTTCCTGTTCCTTTCTCACTAATGATTCCACTTTGGTAAGTTTCAGCTCAAAGTGCAGAGCTTCGTACTAAAATACAAAAGACTTTTGACAGATTCCGAAAAGCCATTCTGATTTTTTTTAATTAGCAGGTTACTTTTTCATAACAACAGCCAAAGACGATGTTTTAAAAATTAACTGGCGACATCTTCCGCTATAGTGATACGCTAGCGGCATCCCCGCTAAAGTCGGCGCCGTAACAGTGATCTAGCAGTACCGACTCTCACCGCGGCTTTGGCCGTACAGGTTCAAGGCAATAAACCAAGTGACAATTAAAAAATGCACAAAGGAAGACAAATTTGTATTGTTCACAGAGGATGTAATTGTCTTCCTTGAATACCCACTGGAATCATGTGGAAAACTGTTCGAATTTAAGACTACAGAAAAGCTGATTAGAGAATGTACAGGGTAAATGCACGAATAACTAACGCAAACACATGGTGTGAAAAAGATCCCATTCGCAGAATTAAGGAAATAGCGTAGCCAGTAGTAACCTCTACAGGAGGGGCACCTGGGGGGCTCAGTCGGTTAAGCATCAACCTCTTCAGTTCAGCTCAGGTCATGATCTCGTGGTTCATAGGATCAAGCCCCACATTGGGCTCCGTGCTGACAGCGCGGAGCCTGCTTGGGATTGTCTCTCCATCTCTCTGCCCCTCTTCCACTCACGAGCTCACTGTCTCGCAAACTTTAAAAAAAAAAAAAGCTAAAACGCTGCAAGAAACATGGTTTAGAAAAAATAAGTTATTTTTGATATTTTAATAACAGTTTAGAACAAAGTATAAAAATTCAGAGTCCATCATTCTGAATAAGGAAACTCAAATAGTAGTTTTTATTCGTTTATAGGTTTATTGTAGCTATGATCAAAATCCCAGATAATTTTTGTAACGTTGGGGGGGGGGATTTTTAAAAATTTTATAGAACTCAGACCAAAAGTAGATTGTTTTTATTTTTTTTTTTCAACGTTTATTTATTTTTGGGACAGAGAGAGACAGAGCATGAACGGGGGAGGGGCAGAGAGAGAGGGAGACACAGAATCGGAAACAGGCTCCAGGCTCTGAGCCATCAGGCCAGAGCCCGACACGGGGCTCGAACTCGCGGACCGCGAGATCGTGACCTGGCTGAAGTCGGACGCTTAACCGACTGCGCCACCCAAGCGCCCCAGTAGATTGTTTTTAAAGAAGACATTTAAAACTTACCAAATACTTAAAACTATTGTAAAACTACAAAGATCATAATAGTGTGGCTGTGGTATGAAACTCAGTAGATGAATCAATCGATCAGAATATGTAGCTTCCTGGGGGCACCTGGGCGGGTCAGTCAGTTAAGCACCCGACTTTGGCTCAGGTCATGACCTCACAGTTTGTGAGTTCGAGCCCCGTGTTGGGCTCTGTGCTGACAGCCCAGGGCCTGGAACCTGCTTGGGATTCTGTGTCTCCTTCTCTCTCTGCCCCTCCCCCACTCACAGTCTGTCTCTTTCTCTCTGTCTCAAAAATAAACATACATTTAAAAAAAATTTTTAAACAAAAAAAAGAATATGTAGCCTCCTTACATACAGTTGCATGTAAGGGAAAGTAGCATCATAAATTAGGGGAGTAAGGAAATATTTTAGTCAATAGTGCTAGCACAGCTAGTTCATTATGTGATAGTCAAAAAATAGCCACTTAGTGTCTTCACATCTTTCTTGTATCCATACGGCTAGTATGGAAAATAGAACCAGCAAACACAAAAATTTTATACAACTATGAATGAGCTCTCAGAACTTTCTATATAAACACCAAAGGAAGCAACCATAAAGGAAAAGATTTAGAGATGTGATCTCATGAATGCTGAATGTAATGAAACAATTCTGTCAAGTGTCTCTTAATTAAAAAAAAAAGGGGAAAATATCAACAGAGGATCAGTTTTCTTGATGCGTGGCATGTTCTTTTACATCAGTAAGAAAAAGATAACCAATCCAATAGGAGGGGGAAGAAAAGACAAGGGATATTAACAGGCAGTTTTCAGGAAAAGAAATACAAATGGCCAATAAACATTTGTAAAAATGTTCAACCTTAATTCAGGTGTCACACATCAAAATAACAGTAAAACTTAATTTCCACCCATCATTATTGATAAAAAGTAAAATGTTGGGCCCCCGCTGCGTGGAAATCTTTAGAGAAATAGGACTTCTTAACTTCTCAGTACTGTTGATGGCAGTGTAAATTGTTTATTCTATGGGAGGGCCATTTGGCTTAATTCAAAAATAACTTGTAATATTCTCACCTGGTCCATGCAGTTCGACTGCTTGGAATGTATCTGCTGGGTATATGTGCAAAAGTTCACCAAGATGCGTGTGCAGGGATGTTCATTACAGAAGATTTAGCAGAGGCAGGGGCACCTGGGTGGCTCAGTTAGTTGAGCGTCCTCCTGACTCTTGATTTCAGCTCAGCTTCGTGATCTCACAGTTCGTGGGATCGAGCCCTACATCAGCGCAGAGCCTGCTTAGGGATTCTCTCTCCCACAAAATAAATGAATAAACAACAACAACAAAAGATTTAGCAGAGGCAAAGGACACAAGGTTATGTGATCCTAATTTTGAGTATGTGTTATGTGTAAATTGGAGGGATCTGTACAAAATAATTACCAGTTTTTCTCTTTAAGGGTTTAAGATTAAAGATTTATTTCCATTTTACGCTTCTCTGCATTTGCTAACTTTCCTCCGAGTAGCAGATGATCCCTTTATAATCAGGAAAAAAATTAAACGCTGCTTTTAAAAAATAACCAATTTTGGAGCACATGGGTGGGTGGCCCAGCCAGTTGAGCATCTGCGTCTCGATTTTGGTTCAGATCATGATGTCCTGGTTTGGGAGTTCAAGCCCCACTTTGGGCTTTGCACTGACAGTGCAGACCCTGCTTGGGATTCTCTTCCTGTCTCGCTCTCTGCCCCTCTCCACCTCATGCTCTCTCAAAATAAACTCACACACAAAAAAATTCTTTCTCTCTCCCTGTGCCCCTCTCCCCTGCTCATGCTCTTGCCGTCTATAAAAATAAAAAAATTTCCAGTTTCTAGCAGTTGGAGATCACCTAGCCCTACATCCCACCCATTCACCCTACCCACCCCTCCTCGGGCTTCCCCCAAGAACAGTTCAGGACTGCGTGCTGAGGCCCTTCCCCGCCCCCCCTTCTGGCCGGTCCCTTGGGACACGCTGTTCTTCCCAGGTGGGTCATAGATCAGTTGTGAGGTGACCTGAGATCACCTGTCAGCACTTCCCAGAGGCGTGCGCATTCCTAGCACCTCAAGTGCCTCGGGGAGCTGGGGAGCCTCAGAGCTGAGCCGAGCCGAGGAGCTCACACCTGGCGCGTTTGGAGGCGGGAGCACCGCGTTTGGAGGCGGGAGCACCGTAGGACGTTCCCTCAGATGCCAGCAGGGCCGAGGAGCTAGGCACCAGTGTGAGGAAGGACAGCAACGCGAGGCAGGGTTTCAGGGAGTGCTCCTCCCCTGTGAGTCCACTTGCCTGAGACCCACCTTGCTGCCAAGGGTGTTTTTGTTTTCCTTGCATGTGGAAAATTCTGACCTTGTTCTGAATCAGAACACTAGGGAAAAAGTAACTCTTCTGTTTACTCTTTTTAGGTTGCTGAAGCACACGTGCCTAATTTCATCTTTGATGAATTCAGAACAGTCCTGTAACTTTCTTGACATCTGCGTCTTCAGTCAAAGGCTTGTCCTTCAATCTTCCCATGACTAAAATGAATTTAGAAATGAAGAAACTCAGCTGCTCGTAGAACTGCATCGCTCCCCTTACCTGTGGGAAACGTCAGGTATTAAGATGTATCTCACGGCACTCGTTCATATAATTAATATTGTTTAAATCATGGTATTATATGCAATTTGTATCATGTAGGAGCAGAATACATTTTTGTACTGCCTCTTATAAATGCCGAATGTAACTGTTACATATAAATCCATTTAGTTTTATGTTCTAAAGACCTATTTGTGCAATTCGGGATTTTCAGTAAAATAGTAATTGCCAGTACCTGAAGGGGTCCTTCTGCCTATGATTCCGAAACGGTGTATCCATCGTTTAAAAAAACAACAAAAAAAACCTCTGGAAGGTAAGCGAGGAATCCGGTAGGTCCCATGGATACCCCCACAACAGGCTGGCAGGCACAGGTGATGGCCAGACCGGGACCAAACAGAGACCACACGCTCCACGGACTATGTACTTTGGAAGTTTCTTGGTGTCTGAGGTTCACTGTTCTCTTCCAGCCATAGAACCCCGGCGCGGGGTGGGGGGTGGGGAGGGGGCAGTTCCCAGCATGCCTTCTGGGTGTCTCTCCAACTTCAGCTGCTCCTTCCGTCCTTCCCCCCCCATCTTCCCCAGCCACCTGAGCCCCACCCCAGCAGCCCAGCCTAGTCAAGGCCCGGCACAGAATTTTAAAAGTGAACGGTCACCCAGCGTGCCTGGGTGGCTCAGTCGGTTGAGCGTCCGACTTTGGCTCGGGTCATGATCTTGCCATTCGTGAGTTCGAGCCCCGTGTCAGGCTCTGTGCTGACAGCTCGGAGCCTGGAGCCTGCTTCAGATTCTGTCTCCCTCTCTCTCTGCCCCTCCCCCGCTCACAGTCTCTCTCTCTCTCTCTCTCTCTCTCTCGCTCTCGCTCTCTCAAACAAAAGAAACGTTAAAAAAAAAGTGTTTTTCCAGCAAATTGTTGCCCAATACGTAAGGAGTTTGGAAGTGCCCCCCCGTGGGAGGCTGGCATGGCACATGAGAACTCAGTCCGTGGCCATCCAGCAGCATCTCAAAAATACCTTGCGGTTTTCCATCTGTAATCAGGTAACATTAACTGCATGAAGTGAGATCTTTAGTTCTCTGTGAAAATGGCCCCCAAAGAAAGCCAGCTGCTAAAAAGGCCAGACTAAGAAAGTGAGATTTAAACCAGAAAATGGAAGTGTGGAATACCCTAGAGGGACTTTGACAAAACCAAGTGAATGAGTCCACCACACGTGCTAGAATGAGGCAAATGAGGTATGCAAGCAACACCACCTGTGATGTGGCAAATGTCCTCGATGGAGAGAAAAAGTGAGAAAGAGAAATTTGTGTTATAAAAGCCTTTTTTAGGGGCACCTGGGGTGGTTCAGTCAGTTAAGCGTCTGACTTTGGCTCAGGTCATGATCTCACGGTTCGTGGGTTCGAGCCCCGCATCGGGCTCTGTGCCGGCAGTGCACTGCTTGGGATCCTCTGTGCCCCTCCCCTGCTCATCCTCTCTCTAAACATTAAAAAAAATTTAATAAAAGCTTTTTAAGTCCTTTTAGCCCTTATCATTATAATCTGAAGTAGTTACTTACTATTCCAAGTCATGTTTTACTGCTCTTTGAGGAGCAGTTTACTTTAGTGATATCTGGGGGTTTACTGAAATTCCATGACACCTTTCTGATGTCCATGATCTCCCCAAATATACTAAAACTCAGTAAATTCGGATTTTTCAGCGTTCTGCCAGACATCACAAGTGCTTGTTTCTTCACTCACCGTTTCTTCACATAATCCCAGCCTGGCTAATTCGTGTTATACAATGGAACGTCTAAAGCCCTTGATTGTCCTGTGTGAACGTGTTTTCACAGAACCCAGAAGAGAACCTTATCTGGTTGGGTACGAGAGGAAAGTAGAGTACAGAGGGATTAAGGCCACTTCCCCAGCATCGGTTATTTAACAGAACAGGCAGAACAGGCTTCCCTCTGCATTTTCAGTCCGGCTTTGGTTTTCCTTTGGAAACATGATCCTGAAGCTACACAGAGTCCACAACAGAGTCAAAGACATTCGAGCTCATTCTCCACTTTATTTGCATGTCCCGCATGACTCTGCCCAAATCCCCAAAGTCAAAAGAAAAACTGCAGAGCCTCAATGTTAGCACTAATTTATGATCACGATCATTTCTCTCAAATGTCTATTTTACCCTTCGTTTTAAATTGCAAAGTATATATTTACATGTTTATATACAAATAACCTCAAAAAGAAATTAACCCCAATCTTGGTCCAAGAGTCTCCACTTTAGAAGTGGTTTCCTTCTCTGCTATGTACATCCTCTTCCAAGGGTCTCTTAGGACTCGGTGAGTTCCAAATATTCGTTCACAAACGGTTCCCTTTTTAGCTTAATGAACCAAGTACTTAATTTCCGAGTAAATCAGAGGAAATATTACAGAGCATGCTTTGTACAGGACAGCACCACTACTGAAAATGGCTCGGGGTTTTGTAATCCAAGGCTCCGACTTAAAGCAAAAATACGTGGCGTAGATCGCAACAGCAAAGAAATGTCCAATTAAAACTAGAGGGTTAGGAGACAGTCTGTAACAGAAAAAAACAAACAAAAAAAACCATATATATATTAGTAAGACCCGGCAATTAAAATTTACTCATAAAAAGGTTCTAATTATGTATCATCTACAAAGCTGAACACACGCTCTACACTTCAGAGGACTCTGCAAGCTTGTGTGGCCCGCTGTATGATGACAGGGACAGATACGTGTTCTTACAAGAAACTCCTTAGACTACCCCCTGTCAGAGAAGCCAGCAACTCTTAGTCTAGTTCACATAAACTGTATGTTCTGAGCTGTTCCACTGATCTTGAGACCTCAGTCCGAAGTACCTGGATGGCCTGACCTGTGGGAGTCTTGGGTTTTCCAAAGGTAACAGTATTGACATCCAGATCATAGACGAATGAGAAGAGACTTGAAGAATTTTACCCTGCAGACTTTTCAAGAATAATTCTATGTATGCCTGTACTGTCAAAACCATTACTGAGTTTCACAAGTCCCTGCACGTCAACTGAATTAAGTTTTAAATACAAATTCCTCTGTTATCTGTGGCTCCCAACAATCAGATCATGTGGTTAAACCCACCAGCAAAAACTAAGTTTCTATTTTAATCAGGGCTTTGGCCCCCTCTACCACCAACTTCTGCTCACCACTTTTCCCAGAAGTCAAACACAGGACTAAGTGTTGCTTTTTTCCTTTCTCTGAGCTACCTTCTGATTGAGATTCTAATGGATAGTAAAGTGACAAAATGTATAGGGAAGAAAGACTTGCAGTAATTGATAAACTGAGCAGTCCCAACGAAGATCTGAAATACCCAGTTCCTGTGTCATCGAAACAACCCAGGGTGCCTGGGTGGTTCAGTAGGTTAAGCGTCCGAATCTTGATTTCAGTTCAGATCATGATCTCACAGTGTGGGAGTTCAAGCCCCACATCGGGCTCTGCACTCACAGCATGGAGCTTGCTTGGGATTTCTCTCTCCCTCTCTCTCCCTCTCCCTCTCCCCCTTTGCTCCTCCCCTGCCTGCACTCTTTCTCAAAATAAATAAACATTAAATATATTTAAATAAATAAATACAACTTACACAGAAAGCAGCCCAACAGGACCAGCAATACATTCTCCACCAAGTTTGAAATAAAGAAAACAGGCTTTTCTTAGTTGATGTACGGAATCTAAAATAAAATTTTAAAATCACTCTGAATCAAAATATTCACACATTTATTTTAGGGTGCTAATGATCTGTCAGAAAAAAATGTAACATAGACCAAACCTTATAATTTTTTAAAAAATCTAGTCCTGGAATCTCAACAACTCAAAATTTCTTTTAAATTCCATAATTAGCATTATGGGCAATAGCTTAAGTGTGAACAAACTTTTCTGTTAGTAAATAATCACTGTAAAAAGCATGCAGGTCTCAGAAGTTAAAGTTGTTTAAGTGTTATTTCCTTGACTGTGTTGTAAATTCATTAAATGATGCAAATACGTTGTAAATTCTTTTGGTCATTAAAAACACAATTCTAGGGGCGCCTGGGTGGCTCAGTCGGTTAACCGTCCAACTTCAGCTCAGGTCACGATCTCACGGTCCGTGAGTTCGAGCCCCGCGTCGGGCTCTGGGCTGATGGCTCAGAGCCTGGAGCCTGCTTCCGATTCTGTGTCTCCCTCGCTCTCTGCCCCTCCCCCATTCGTGCTCTGTCTCTCTCAGTCTCAAAAATAAACATTAAAAAAAAATTAAAAAAAAACAAAAAACAAAAAACAAAATTCTAGAACCCAAACTCCCAATCTCTAAGATACCCAACCTGTATTTCTGAGCATATTATCAAGTAAAAATAGCTGTGAATATTAAATATTAATGCCTTATATTTGTATACTTTTTCATACTTTTCAAAGTAACCTGTCAAACCTTCACAACAGAGTATTATCAACCAATAATCTTTCTATTTAGAATCAATGTTCTTTTCAGGTATACTTAAGATTTTTCTTTAGAACAGATAAAAAAGGATATAATAGGTAATCTCACTCCAATAAAACTCTTTCCTCTTCTATCGTAATTTCTTTTAAGTTGTTTGTTGGCAGATTGAAATTCATAACGTAAGACTCTCAAGAGCTTGGGAAAACTTAAAAAGAAGTGCTTAGAAAAACTCAAAACTTTTCTTTTTACTTGCCCACCCCGCCAGTTTAGCTTCCGTGCCAGTTAGCAAGAGAGGGTAGATTGGCGAACCACCATCAATGAGTTTTTTTTCTTTTAGCAAGGATAACGTGTATGGAGGCTGCAGAAGGCACTTGTGCCGTATCAGGTCACCAAAGAACTGGATCACCAGTTCACGGAAGTAGGCTTGTCGTAAATATCTGAGGTAATAGGATTGGAGTCACATTTATTCCTGAAAACGTAAATGTCCGATTTCATCGTGGCACAGTCGCCTCCTCCTCCATTTCTACTGCTTCTGCTGCGTCACGTTTTCCTCAATATACAGACTGACCATCGCCACTTTACAATGTGGAAGCAAATACAAAAGCATGGGAACGTTTCAAGTGAGTAGAAGGGGGACGCATTCTGCTATTCGTGCATTGTAGCAGGAGACAAAAATCTAACCTTGTTCCGAAGCTCATTACTTATTTTACAAAATACAACGAACAGAAATCGAAACTGGTGTTCAAGGAAGAAAAGGCTTAACAACTATGTTTCGTTTTCATTCACGGCCAGAAGACCCTCCATCACGACTTTGTGCATCT